AAGTTTCACTTTAGTTTTTCAAGTAACTCAACTCAAACTTACTAAGTCACTCACTCAGCATCATCAGACAGGTTTTTAGGAATATGAGAATGTCCACATTTCCAGGTATTTATAAGCTGGGATGTTTGGGCATTTACAAAATCCCCTGCTCTGGAAAAAACTCTCTCGCTTGGTACTGATGTTGCTGGGACAGCAGTGGTCGCGTTAAGCGAACATTTTATTTAACAATGACGGAAAAATCTGAAAGCAGTCTGTCATTTTGACAGATTAGAACAAACTCGGAACAGCGCCAACGTTTCCCCGCAGCGAGGCTCTGGTGTTATGCATGCCCTCCAAAAGGAAATTATATAGTTTCCAAACCGTACTTTGCCGTACAGATCAACACATGTCTGGGAGGTTTTGCTTTACGCTGTGTGCGCTCCCGCGAGGTGCATGCACACACGGCATAACACCGTCCCCCCCCCCCCCCGTTGACAGTTCACGAGCGTGCTCTCTCGTGAACAGTTCAGACCCGACGGGTAATAAGGGATTATGACGGATATTTTACGATCCTGTCTGTCAAAATGACGGACAGCGAAAAAGTCTAACGCCACCTCAGTGGGACGGAGAGATATGCTTTGGCCATGGGTGACAGCTGTGGGTCAAACTGTGCATTGTCTCTCCACCACTTCAAAAAAACAATACAGTTTTTGCCAAGAAGGTGAGGCTTATTGACAGGGCGAGATATAAATATACTGTTGGTACTTGTCAATGTCTCTAGGTGTGTAAATGTAGCACTGTAAATACGATGTCCTTTTGTGTTCTGTTTTATGTTCATGTTGTAACCTACTTGCTGCCATGTTGTCTCTCTTGAAAAAGAGATCGATGATCTCAATGGGACCACCTGGTCAAATAAGTGGGGCAGAAGAAACTGAAAGAATTCCAGCTTTGGGTCTCAGAGCTATTTCAAGACATCGTTCTACTTGACTACAAGATCTACAAATCTCAAGTGTAGCCAAATTCATTTTGTAACAAAACAGGCTGAACTCCATCGAATGAATTCAAAAACCATGTACCAATGTTTGAACCCATATAAATGTATCACATACAGTGGGGCAAAAAAGTATTTAGTCAGCCACCAATTGTGCAAGTTCTCCCACTTAAAAAGATGAGAGGCCTGTAATTTTCATCCTAGGTACACTTCAACTATGAGAGACAGAATGGGGGGAAAGAATCCAGGAAATCACATTGTAGGATTTTTAATGAATTAATTGGTAAATTCCTCGGTAAAATAAGTATTTGGTCACCTACAAACAAACAAGATTTCAAGCTCTCACAGACCTGTAACTTCTTCTTTAAGAGCCTCCTCTGTCCTCCACTCGTTAACTGTATTAATGGCACCTGTTTGAACTCGTTATCAGTATAAAAGACACCTGTCCACAACCTCAAACAGTCACACTCCAAACTCCACTATGGCCAAGACCAAAGAGCTGTCAAAGGACACCAGAAACAAAATTGTAGACCTGCACCAGGCTGGGAAGACTGAATCTGCAATAGGTAAGCAGCTTGGTGTGAAGAAATCAACTGTGGGAGCAATTATTAGAAAATGGAAGACATACAAGACCACTGATAATCTCCCTCGATCTGGGGCTCCACGCAAGATCTCACCCCGTGGGGTCAAAATGATCACAAGAACGGTGAGCAAAAATCCCAGAACCACACGGGGGGACCTAGTCAATGACCTGCAGAGAGCTGGGACCAAAGTAACAAAGGCTACCATCAGTAACACACTACGCCACCAGGGACTCAAATCCTGCAGTGCCAGACGTGTCCCCCTGCTTAAAGCCCCTGTCACACTGTCCCGAAATTGACACCCGATGGACACACGATAAAGGAAATGTTCAAATTCGGCTGTGATCGTAGCAACATCGGGCCATTCGTGAGGGCATCTTAAGCCATCGTATGACCGCCGGTGGAGTTTCTCAGGCTCCGGCAGCAACTTCGTGAGCGGCAACTTCGTAAGGCACTCGTGAGGGCATCTTGTCAAGTCGTGTCATCTTCGTGCATTCGCCCTCACTCTGATCGGGGCGAATGCCCGATGGCACCGATGATAACAAGATGCCCTAACGATGGCCTTACGAAGGGCAAAATTGACACACGAATTCAACACGAAAATGAACCTTCGCAAGGTCCTTCGGCTATTGTTTGGCATGCCAAAGATTTTGCCACCGCTCACAAAGTTGTTGCCGGAGCCTGAGAAACTCCACCGGCGGTCATACGATGGCTTAAGATGCCCTCACGAATGGCTCGATGTTGCTACAATCAGAGCCGAATTTGAACATTTCCTTTATCGTGTGTCCATCTGGTTGTTTTATTGCAAACAAAATCATAAAAACATATTATGTAAATCACCCAATTTGTGTTCTGTGAAACTGAAAAGGATATAATATATTATTTTGAAGGCGAGTTGACAGGAAGTTGTTGTTGCTATGGAAACAACATGACAGAGAAAACGTATTATCTTCTACATATAAAGATGGAGAAAGTAAAGAACAAAGTCTGAAAATATCAGTACAGTATCATAGTACTGTAGCATAATTGTTTTTGTTACTTTCGTTGCAGTTGTATGTCTTAAATGTAATGTTGCCTTCGTGTGTGGTTCAGGGCCATCTTCGTGCGAAATTCACAATTCCATATTCGTGTGTCCATCGGGTGTCAACTTCGGGACAGTGTGACAGGGGCTTAAGCCAGTACATGTCCAGGCCCGTCTGAAGTTTGCTAGAGAGCATTTAGATGATCCAGAAGAGGATTGGGAGAATGTCATATGGTCAGATGAAACCAAAATATAACTTTTTGGTAAAAACTCAACTAGACGTGTTTGGAGGAGAAAGAATGCCGAGTTGCATCCAAAGAACACCATACCTACTGTGAAACATGGGGGTGGAAACATCATGCTTTGGGGCTGTTTTTCTGCAAAGGGACCAGGACGACTGATCCGTGTAAAGGAAAGAATGAATGGGGCCATGTATCGTGAGATTTTGAGTGACAACCTCCTTCCATCAGCAAGGGCATTGAAGATGAAAGGTGGCTGGATCTTTCAGCATGACAATGATCCCAAACACACCGCCCGGGCAACAAAGGAGTGGCTTCGTAAGAAGCATTTCAAGGTCTTGGAGTGGCCTAGCCAGTCTCCAGATCTCAACCCCATAGAAAATCTTTGGAGGGAGTTGAAAGTCTGTGTTGCCCAGCGACAGCCCCAAAACATCACTGCTCTAGAGGAGATCTGCATGGAGGAATGGGCCAGAATACAATCAACAGTGTGTGAAAACCTTGTGAAGACTTACAGAAAACGTTTGACCTCTGTCATTGCCAACAAAGGGTATATAACAAAGTATTGAGATGAACTTTTGTTATTGACCAAATACTTATTTTCCACCATAATTTACCAATTAATTCATTAAAAATCCTACAATGTGATTTCCTGGATTCTTTCCCCCCATTCTGTCTCTCATAGTTGAGGTATACCTAGGATGAAAATTACAGGCCTCATCTTTTTAAGTGGGAGAACTTGCACAATTGGTGGCTGACTAAATACTTTTTTGCCCCACTGTACATCCACCTGATCTCATTCAAGATTGCCTGCATCTCCTCATTTGAACACACAGCAACCCTTCTTACCCACTGTAGAAGCAAATTGAGAGAAAAAGTTAGCTTCTTCTGCACAGCTGACTGCTCTGATGCCTGGTGTGGGTTCATGAATACAAATGGGAGTTCTGTTTGTTTATGCTGTCTGAATAAAGCTAATTGGAGGCTAATTTAAATTCAGTTTCTCATCCTGGAAAAGTCATCCACTTCTTATTAAATATATTAAGTCGATAAGGTTTTATGACCAACAAATAAGAAAGTTGAACCATGACCAGAAATACTTCTCTCCTTTCAGTGTAGTTTTTATACTGAAATACTTTATATGAAATATAAAAGAATGTTAAGGTTTGATCGGTTAACTTTCAAACATACTTTGAAAGATTCTCTATAAATTCTCTATTGTTGCATATCTTACATACAGCAGACAGACAGTGAAGACATGATTTAAAGAGCGCTGGACTGGCTGTGTCTCAGTGTCTGAGAGGGAGAGCAGCTCCACTCAGGCTGTAAATCCTGTTATGTCACAGATGATCAGCGGGCCATGCAGCGGATGTAGAGCATGTGGAGCAGAAAGAGAGTTCACACAGTGACCATGAGGATTACATGCCCTGTAAAAGCACATCCTATTGGTCCAAGTGGGATAAAACGATTGTAATCCGAGTTGCTATTGGAGACGGTGTGATTAAATCTTGTTGGTTTGGAAGCCCTCCCATTTGTCCTACTTGGATCCCACTCATTGTTGACATCTTTGCGTAAGCAACAGGGGAAACACCCATTTGAATGTGAATCTGAAAAACATATTAAAACCTATCCTTATCACCTATATATTTTGCATACATATAAAATACCATTATAATGACTTTTTTGTGGTTAAGGGCTCTACAGGGAGAAAAAAGCAACAATCTGCTATAGATTTCATTATTTTGGAATAGGCTTAGTGATGTTTGAAATTACTTAATTCTATAATGATATTTGACTTATTGATCCTCTTAGTCAGCACTTTTCTCAATGCTCTGAATGCTTTTAAGCTGGAACATATGTGAAGAAGATTTCAAATGAGAAATTGTCTTAATGCAACCTCTCCATACCGGTTTGATCAGCTCAGATTGTATTACAATTACTATTTTATTAAAGGGGCCCTTTTATGCTTTTCAGGCTTTTCCCTCTCCTGCAGTGTGTTCTAGAGGTTCTTGTGCATGTAAATAGTCTGCAAAGAGCAGACTGTGCTCTGATTTCAGACAGAGGGTGAAAATGAGCATTATATGGCCCCTTACACCTTCATTTATTCAGGGGAAGTTTACTGAGAGTAATGTTCACCTCTTCAGGAACTCTCTGAGTTCAGGTGTGATGGATATATCTTCTTTTTTGCTCCGCAGATCACCAGAAGTTGGAGCGAGAGGCCCGGATCTGCCGCCTGCTAAAGCACCCCAACATTGGTAACTAGTACTCCCTTTATCTTTACTATATGTCTTCCTTTCTTTCCTCTCATGATGTCTCAAAAAGTATTTCATATATATCCATATGTTTCAGCTTAGCCCTGAAGACAGTTTTGTGGGTTAGCCCTCAAGAGGGTTTTGAATTGAAACTTACTATATAGAGAGTCAATTTCATCCTGTTCTCCGGGGTTTTTCAACCTTCTTTCAGCCGTGAGTAAAATAGTTGCGACGCGAGGAGCGTGCACACACACGGTTGTGGCTGGTCTCAAATGTAATGTAACCACTGCAAATGAACACAGAATTCTTAGAGAAGAATCAGCAGGAAAGTGAGTAAACCAGTTTACATTAATATACGACTGAATGTGGGGATTCTTTCAGTACTGCGGCCTACAGCTGCTGTATAGTATAACAACATCTCTTTCACTTCATGGAACCCCTGCAGCATGTAAAGTCAGAAACAATCATGAACCAGCAGCCTCTGAGAGGTTTCACCAGAGTGCAGGGCCGCTAACGCACAGCCACTTTGACCTCATCAGATCTGCTAAAAACCGCAGCTGCTACAGTCTGAACTCTACACACATCTGATGTTCGGTTATCACTTAATATTCTGCTTTTATGAAGGAGTCGTCCGGTCAGCTGGGCGCATATAGTTTCTATAGAAGTGTGTTCTTTGACAACAGTGGACTTGAGCATGTACAAAATGCGGTATGTGTACGGCCACTTATGTGAAGAACTGCAAATATTATTCCTCCGAAAACAAATGGAATATCGCCCCGGTGCGCTCTGGCAGTGCTTCCCCCGGGAACGCAGGAGCCTTAATCTGAACTCATAATTTCATCAAAGACATCCTTACTTGGCGAGTAAGATCCAGAATTTAGCACCGTCGCCTCTCAGTCTGCAACTGAAATGGTGATGTTTCATTTAGAGATGACTTTAAAGCTTGTTGGGACCATGGACTTTTACACACTCCAAGCAGAACGGAGCAGCTGCACTCGGACCCCGGTGAAAGTTAATCCAAACAAAAGATAACCTCCGCTGAATCCCCTCCAGCTCACCGTTTCTACCTTCTTTTGACCACCTCTCATACTAGGCTCTTCATCTGGGTTACAAGTTTGTCCAGGACTGAACTCATAGTCTGTGTTAATCACTTCAGGGTTTATTTAAATTACTTTATGGGTGTCTTAACCTATAATAATATATGATTATGTATTAAGTGATTTAAATAAATGTATTGGAGTAAAAAGGACACAATTTGCCTACAAAATGAAGTGTATATAAGTAGCGTAATGTGCAGTTGCGAACCGTGTCTATTCTCTGAATACCTTGAAGGCCCTGACGGTTCGCCACTGGTAATGTGAAAATATTCAAGTACAAGTATCTGCATTTTTTTACTCAGTACAGTACTTGAGTAAATGAACATCACTGAAGAAAAGTGAATACTGGTTGATTCCAGAATAAATCTGAAATTGTATATTGATAACTCGCAGCATCTCTCCAGCCTGCCTCTCTTCACAGTCTCTGCTAGCAGATAGTGTCTCATTACTATTCCATTCATACTTCATTCAGCGGGAAAGCCCTCATTATTTCAAGGTCGTCATGGTGCTGTTGGATCTCAGATGTCAATCAGGAGACTCGCTAACGGAGACGTCAGGGAGTCGCTACAGGGGGATGTCCCTTTGAAATCTTCTCACCCATCCTCTAATGTGATGTATTCCATCATAAGAAGTCAATCGTTGTGTGTTATTATTGTAATTCAAATTACACAATTTAGCTTGAATCTTTCAAATGATGAATGGAAACATGCAATTTCCTTGAAAGCCCTGGGCACTTTATCCAGAAACAGCAACATTCTGATGTCTAAAGTTCTGGACCACACTGAGAGAAGACCCCTGAGTTTTTCTGCTGCCTGTAGATCAACTTCCTGAATAACTCTTTCCTTCCTCCTTATAGTGCGGCTCCATGACAGCATCTCAGAGGAAGGATTCCACTATCTGGTCTTTGACTTGTAAGTGCAGGGTTTTTTATTTCTCACATCATATTAATGCACATTTGAGAAATCTTTTTTATAATTATTATTATATATCTTTAAGTATACAAATAAATTAATTTCAAAAAGGGAAAATATGCCAGATTATAACTAAAAGCTTCCACCATGCAGTCCGTTGGCAGGTACACACATAACCTAGTGCCTATCACACTAACAATTAGAACAGATCAAATAAAGATGTATACATATAATTACTCCATTTACAGTAATATTAAAGGTCCCATGTCATGGCCATTTCTACTGATCATAATTCCATTGTTGAGGTCTACTAAAATAAATGTATATTGTGCAATGTTCCAAACTCACATTGGTTTCTCAAACAGCATATCTGTATAGTATGTGTATTCACTCTCTGTCCTACACGGCTTGTTGGAGCTCCTGCCCCCCCCACCTCCCTGTGAGCCCACTGTGCTCTGATTGGTCAGCTCGCCCACTTTGTTCTGATGAGTCTACCACCGTTACAGCGGAACATCAGTGATTATGTGTTACAATGGCGTTTGTTAGCAACCAGAAAATGACACCAGCAATGACAAACAGATGAGAATGCTGCATGGGGTCTGGGTGCCGTGTTGGCGGGACGTTGGGGTGCTCGCTGCTGGAGCTGTGTGTGTGTGTGTGTGTGTGTGTGTGTGTGTGTGTGTGTGTGTGTGTGTGTGTGTGTGTGTGTGTGTGTGTGTGTGTGTGTGTGTGTGTGTGTGTGTGTGTGTGTGTGTGTGTGTGTGTGTGTGTGTGTGTGTGTGTGTGTGTGTGTGTGTGTGTGTGTGTGTGTGTGTGTGTGTGTGTGTGTGTGTGTGTGTGTGTGTGTGTGTGTGTGTGTGTGTGTGTGTGTGTGTGTGTGTGTGTGTGTGTGTGTGTGTGTGTGTGTGTGTGTGTGTGTGTGTGTGTGTGTGTGTGTGTGTGTGTGATGATTTAATGGCAGTCATACTGTATCAATCAATGTTAACTTGGAAAGCCACAATATTTATATTTTAACTCAATAACATTTGGTGACATTATTGTGGCACATCATTTAATGAATTTTAACTGAACAATAACTGAATGAGTTTGTTTCACTGCTGCAATAAGTACATTAATTAACTGTCTCATCGATGTTTGTCCGTATGAATATGATAATATTAACAATCATATCATTCAGCTGTCAATCCCTTTTATGATTCACATATTCAGTGTTATTATTAAATAAACTATATTTGTTGGAGGAGATAATGATGAATGTTCCTCAAGATGCTTGCTCACCCTCCTTCAAATTTGAAAGACAAGTAATTACTATCATAAATCAAAAGAATCAAAAGAACAGTTCAGCGCCCCACGACTTCATTGCAAACAGTTACAACCTTGACTTTACATCAGAAAGAACAAACATTAAAGAAGTGACTATTCAGTTATGATCCAGTGGAAAGTCCTTACCTACTGGCCTAGTTAAATCAAAGTGGTTACTTTTTTTTGGCTGGGCAGTGAAGTTTTACACACAGTCTTCTTTGACTTTCTCAGGACTTAAAACTCATTTTTGGGGGCAGAACCCCACAAAGAAGAAAAATATTATACACACGTAAGGTCATCATTTATAGAAACCTTTGGAGAGTGTTCATGTTTTCCACAGGTCACGGAAATGTTTAGCTTTAAAATATATTTCAAGTCATTGTCCATGTTTTAGAAAACTGACTAACATGGTTAATATGGTTAGAGAAACTAAATACAAAACCTTAAATGGTTTCTGTATCCTGGGGGTAATATTGTTGTTGCTTGGGTGCAATATGGGTATAATAACAGTGTAACATGGGTTTAATAAATACCAATACATATGGGATACAAATACTATAAAGGGTAGAATTCAACAAAAGAGATAACCTCACTAAGGACAGAAGAGGCGAAGGGGAAATCTAGCCAGCAGAATGTCAGTGGTTCGATCCTCAGCTTCTGCAGTCATCTGTCAAAGTGTCTTTGGGTGGGTAAGATACTTGACCATAAAATTGCTCCCATAGGCATGTCTACGATATTGAAGTACTGTATGAGAGTCACTTTGGATCAAAGCGCCAGCATGTAACGTAGTCTTGAAGTTTAAAACTGGCAGTCTCCCTTTACCCTTCATCATATTAACATACATTGTGCTATGGGCTTATCTTTTGTACCTTTGAATTGAAACCTTCGGAAGTAACTTGTCATTATTTGATGTACATTTGCTTCTGCACCTCGATTGCAATTGGCATTGCACAGGATCCTCTCTCTGGCTTCTGTCCATGACCTCATGGAAACACACTGAACTTCTTCCAGCTGAATGAACGTTATCCACATACAGTACGACCATGATTTCAACATTAGGGCGCGAAAAGCACAACATATTTATTTTCAGTTGGTATGGAAAAGAATAGCTTCTGGAGAGATTTGTTACCCAGCAACATCATCCAGCACACCCTCCAGACGCAGACATTAGCATCTGTGGTTTTGCAATTAACGTCATTTCCAGACAATGCTTTTTCTTTCCTGCTGTCTTATTCTAGTTTTGTCTGTGTCTTTGTTTCCCCTCCATTCAGAGTCACCGGTGGAGAGTTGTTTGAGGACATAGTTGCCAGAGAGTACTACAGCGAGGCCGACGCCAGGTCTGTGTCTTATCTGTTTGATATTTCTGAATGTATTTTAGAAATGTGGTGTGAAATCCTTTTAGTCTATTTTGGCACCAAATGCATATTCAAGGAGATATGCACTATATAACAGTTAATACAACTGCAAATCTTTAAATAGCATATTACATACCTTTTGGATCCACGCATTTTAAACAACAAACCTTGCTAATTATGCAGTTTACAAACGTTTCTGTGGTGCGGCCTTTGATATGCCTTTGAGAGCCAAAAACTGTCTTTACACATTTCAAGTTTTACCTCTGTTTTTTGATTATGGATCTATTCCCCCCCAATTTCTACTCCTATTAAAAAAAACACTCAAAAAAGAACCATGTCTGTTTTGGTTCAGTAAAGCAGCTTTACAGCATTTCCTTTTAAGCAGTAGGCTGTTGGAATAGAAGCAGTTGTTGTTATATGTTGAAAACAAATGATTTGAGACGACTGTCTCCATAATGTTAGGGGCTTCACATGGGAATAAGATAGTCAGATACATTAGCAATGATAACGAAGCTTCTTTTAAATGACTTACTTTGGTTGTAAAGGTTCAGTTTTGAAAAATATTAATAATAAGAAAAACCTCACCAAGAGTTACAAACTGTTTTGCAGCTTTATTAGACAACTGTTAATTCAAACAAACAAAAGCTTAATATGAAAGGATCTGGATTCTGTTTTGATGTGGATTGTATTGGTTTGTAAAAGTTAATTTAAAGATGACCTCTGAAGTCGCTTAAACAATGGGCATGCATCATATGTATTTGTCATTACTTGTCTATTTAAATTGCTTAAAGAAACAGTTCAACTATGTGCTTTCTTTCCAAGAGTGACATGTGTTAAATACTGATGTGGTTAGCCTAGCTAAGCACAAAGACTGGAAAGACGGGAGAACAGAACCCTGGCTTTGTATAGAGTTCAAATCAACCACCAACATCTTTTGAAACTCTCACTAATCGAGCAGTGATTTTTACTTTTCTGTTGTTTTAGGAAACATTTCTTTATTAGAAGAATCTATACTTGTGTTTATTGACTCTGGAGACGCTGCAGTACCTAACATGCCAGGCCAGCTGTTTCTCCGTGTTCAGTCTATGCTAATCCAGGCTAACTGCATCCTGACTCCACCATCATAAAAACAATTCTTATCTATCTTTTGAAGGAAAGCAAATCTTTTATTTTGATAATGTTGAACTATTCCTTTAAAATGTATCCTTTGTCAATAAGCTATTTTGTGTGTTTGGTGTGTTCTGTCAGCCTGTTCCTTTGTTTCCTGACATGTACCTGTTCTCCCTCTTCCTCTCCTTCTTGCTTCTGGCCTGGTCTCTCTCCCCCACAGTCACTGCATACAGCAGATTCTAGAAAGTGTAAATCATTGCCACGTAAATGGCATAGTGCACAGGGACCTTAAGGTTAGTAAGTGACCACAGTAATAGCTAAAAGAAAAGTTCTGCCCTCTTGTGGCACCTTGCCTGCTCCTCCACTGTCTGATCAATCAACCAATTAACCTTCACTGAGTGCCGCCTCCTCCCAACCCACCCCCTCCCCCAGTTACCCTCACACACCTAAAATCCATCCGCTGCAGGGCATTGTGGGCAGGTTGGCTGGAGAGGAGGCGGTATGCCAGGGCACGAAGTGCATGTAACATCTGTCAAACGCCATGCTCTGACACAACCACTGAGAGGCTCCACCTGAGGGGGGGGGAGACACAAACACCTGTGGGTGACAAACACCTGTGACAATTTGCATTCCAAATTTGGACTTTAGATTTGTCTAGTTCTGCAGGTTTTATTATATAAAATCTGTAGTGTGTTTCAACATCAAACCCTCCACTGTCAGTTAGCTCCACAACCTATGTAATAAACATCAACTATAAAATTGGATATTTAACAGAGGATGTAGCTCACCCTAGGGCAGTGGTTCTCAAAGTCTCTGTCATTCCCCACTTTGAACAGATGGGCCTTTTCAAGCCCCACCTGTCCCTCATCGCTCCAATAAAATGGTCGGCCAAACTTTTTTGTCAAATTGTCAAATGTATCGTTCAATAACAATATAAAAATATATCTATAACAAATAACAGTTCAGAAATAGAGAAAATAAAAGTGCAATGGTGTCAATCCTTGCCTGAAATAGGCTGAGTTCCAAAAATATAGAAAAAGGGCCTACTTTGCAATTGTGTTATATTGATAACATTTGAAAATGTTAAGCTTGGTCTACCATTGGGTAGGCCAAGCTTAAAATTGTCAAATGTATTCAAATAACTTCAAGTTCTTATAACAAATAACATCAGTCAATAATAACAACCGCCGTTAGGGACATTATTCAGAAATACCGTTCACATAGTCCAGGGGCGGATCTAGAAAAATATTCATGGGGTGGCAAGAGGGTGGCAGGAGATTTTGAGGGGTGGCATCCCCTGGCAGAAGTATATGCTGATTTAATCATACATAACACTTGACATGGAAACATTACTCGTGGATGGGGCTACAGAGCTACTAGAAAGACAGTCGAACCCGGTGCATTCCTCCGTCTGAATGTGGAGCACTTTTGATAAATGTTTAGACAAATTCCTCGTGTTACCGCCCTTACATGCTAAACTCTTATTGCACTTTTGGCAACGGGCATTGTCCACATCGAGACGGGTAAAGTTTAACCACACCTCAGAGCGCGTTCTCTCCGCCATCTCCTCCGCGTGTGTGTGTGTGTGTTGCATGCATGTAGCAGAGTGTGTGTGTAAACTGCTCCGCCCCCTCGCAAGCAGGCGGGGGAGAGAGATCTCTCGTCTGGATTGGAAAGATCGAAAATACTAAAAATATAATCATACACATTTGGCAGTCTTTTTGCATATTAGAAACGGAGTTGGCGACACTAAAACTGCAATATAATGTTTGTGTAGCAATAATACAGATGACATATTTTTACATTTCTCCAGTACCGATAAAAAGACCGATAATGTTGGAGCTTAACGGTACCACGGTCTTTAATAATTCAGCCCCGGGGCCCGTTTAATACCGGGGCTCGGTACCCATCCCTAGTTATAAGACTCGCGGCTTGTGCTGCATTCATTCGCACTCGGATATTAGAGATGTTCTCTCATAAATGTCCGATGAGCCACAACTTTTCTTTCAAAACAAAGCTGCCAGCTGGGGTGGCAAGGCTATTTTTAGGGTGGCAGTTGCCACCCCGGTAGATCCGCCCCGGCCCCACATGTGAAACACTCTCACACAACATACTGAAATCGCATGTGTGTATGAGTGTTTCGTGAGTGTGAGCAGGTTTGGGAGGCGTGTGGCGTAGTGGGTTGTCCGTAGGTGTTCGGATCAGGGGGTCACAGGTTCAAACCCCACTGCAGTCAGCATGTCGTTGTGTCCCTGAGACACTTCACCCCAAATTGCTCCTGTGGGGATTGCCCACAGTATTGAGTATGTAAGTCGCTTTGGATAAAAGCGTCTAACAAGTAACATGTAATGTTCGGATTGGCCATCTGGAGATTCGGGACTTTTCTCGGTGGTGGGCCGCTGCCGTTGGTGGGCCGCTGCCGTTGGTGGGCCGCTGCCGTTGGTGGGCCGCTGACGTTGGTGGGCCGCTGCCGTTGGTGGGCCACTGGCTTCGGTAGGCCGCTGCCTTCGGTGGGCCGCTGGCTCTGGCATAGGTGAGCAGTGGACTTTCACAGCACCGCTGCGCCAGTAACGGCCCGTCCACACGGCAGCGTGCGTTGAAACTTCAACGCCGCTTCCCATTCACTTTGAATGGGGTGACGTCAGGCTTTGCCAAACTGCATTGTGGTTCCGTGGCGTCGCTTTGCCTCCGTTGCTCGCTTCGAAAGTTGAGAAAATGTCAACTTTTCAAGCTTCGACGGAAGCGTCAGCCAATCAAATCATATGCCAGTACAAGCTCTAGCCAATCAAACTGCGTGCTTGTGTGTCCGGGGCGGGAGATTAATGTGATTGGTTGTTGGTCGTGCTCCAGATACCCCCACCGGCAAGCTTCAACGCACGCTGCCCTGTGGACGCTGCATAATGCATCCCCTGCCGTTGCGAGGCTCCGGCACTGTGAAAGTCCACCGCTGTTGCGAGCCTCCGGCTGTAACAGTCCACTACCGCCCGCAAGGTCCCAGGTTTGATTCCGGCCTGAGGTCCAAAACATTTATAAAAAACATTTAAAAAGTATCTCCCGTTCATCGCGTCCATTCGCGACTCACATATGACATCTCTGCGCCCCACACTTTGAGAAATGCTGCCCTAGGGCAATTTGAGAGGAATAAGAATTATCCTTGTCAATTTTGAAATTGTGATTCAAATAAGTCTAACTTTCTTATAGTATTAATAGTCCCCATTGGATCACTTTAGTAGTGATTATTATATCAAGCATTATAAAAAAACATACATAGCTTAGTTATCATGGAGCTATAAAGAAACAAATATTTGTGTGCACAAATAACTAATATGTATTTGTTTCCTGGTACGAGTGAACTGAACACAATGGCATCAAACTAGTTTCAGTCATTTCCAATTTGTTGTTTTGACAGAATAAGGGAGAAACACCAACAAACTCTTCAAAACGTTTGGCTTCAAAGCAAGAACACGTAACAGAGTCCCCATGTCCTCCTCCCCCGTCTCTCAGGCTCAGCCTCCAGTCGGCCGGGGGCTAACCACACTTCTGCTCTGAGACTCAGGGAGACTTGGCCGTGTTGTCCCAGCAGCAGACTGTGACCACGTTCCAGCTGTGTTTTTATTTCTTGGTCATCATAGCAAACATCAATTGGAGACCTTGGCAACACATACAAAAAAAATTCAGAAACTTTGAGTAAATGGTCCAATTAGCTAAATTGTCCCTCAGTATGGCTGCTGGGTGGGTACGTTAACACACTGCTCCACAGTGTCATGCTAACATGGCCAGGGGCCCTGAGTGTCAGAGCCCCTCACCACAGACAGGGAGGGAGCTGTCACTAACCCTGCCCCCTGCTGTCTGCATGCAGTCATTGCATTCAGCAGATCCTAGAGGCTGTGCTCCACTGCCACCAGACGGGCGTGGTCCACCGTGACCTCAAGGTAAGTGAACTCACCATGAAGACCAATCAAAGCATTCTATCCTGCAGCCTCACACTCCAACACCTTGTATTCTTCCATCCATGTTGATTCCTCCTCTCACATTACCTCTGCACTACTTCCAGGATCACGTTTCTATTTACAGTAATATCAACTCCCCTCTCACACTGAGCAGGCTGTAGAATAGTTAATGGCCTGAGAATGAGGCTGGCAGTCCTCCAGGCACTCTGCAGCTGTAAACAGCCGAGCAGTGTAACAGCCACTCTGTATCTGGAGGAGATCTGCCATGTGCTGTGGAGTGCTCAATGTTCTTTATAATGACTTCAAGTAAAAGGACAATTATTTAAATTAAGCTCTATTTTTTTATGAGAATATAATCCTAATCAAATGCAAGATGTTTGTATAAAATATGACAAAAAAGCATTTCAATCAGGAGAGACGTAATGTATGGAATACATGTTTATTATCGGTCACATTATATAAATGAAACATAATGATGACAGTTTATAACAAGGGAATGAAATGGTGTTTGGCGATTAGGCCCAGGTTTTGTAGGATATCATTCGGGAAGGGAAAGAACCGTTTCCGATGAACCCCCAAAAGAAGTGAAGTATGAAGTACTGAACGTGAAGAAATATTACCTTGTGGGATGCAGTGGAAATCTATGGATGAAATGAGAGGTTAATACATGTGGGGATTTAGACGTACTGATGCCTCCCAGGCATCCTTCCTGGACGTACAGGGCATCCTGGACGTACAGGGCATCCTGGACGTACAGGGTGTCCCGGACATACAGGGCTTCCCGTTGTGCAGGAATATCATTCGGGAAGGGAGAACCGATCCGATGAATCCCCAAAAGAATGAAATATAAAGAAATGAGATGTACTGGGTTTCTTACCTTACGAGCTAGCTGCGGTGGTTTATGGATATAATTAGAGAATTATACGGGGACAGAGAAGACATGTTATTGACTAGCGTAGGACTAAGAGTGGGATAATGCATGGGTGGACTCGTCCTGGCTCACGCGAGCCTCAGATCCTTCCGGTCAAACATGAGAATAAAATGCGTGGATGTCACATCCTGTCTCACAAGCCTGGGACCCTTCCGGTCAAACATGATAAAATGCGTGGATGTCACATCCTGGCTCACAAACCTGGGACCCTTCCGGTCAAACATGAAAATAAAATGCGTGGATGTCACGTCCTGGCTCACTCGAGCCGGAGACCCTTTGGTCAGAACACGTGGAACGTGACTTGAAATAACCATGTAACACGACAGGACCTGTAGTGTAAACGTGCCCTTGATCTTAGATGATGATGCAATAGAATCCAGATAGAAACATGACGATGATATGTGAGCTGATATGTTAATGACACTACCACCAGTTATATGCATGATTACCAAAGTTTTTTTTAATTCATTTTTTTATTTTTTTTATATAATATCATATGCATTTTGTATCTATTTATTAATAAATAAAAAATAAAATAAGAATGTGTTTGAAGCCCTAAGGGGATATGGTTCTAAGAGCACGGGATCCGGGTGAGTAGATGAGACGCTGCTAAGCGAGTGATGTTAGGGGGTGGAGGGGTGAATGATCAGAAGAATCTCCCGCCATGTGGTTTCTGAAGCAGGGCGGGGATTTTAGGCCGGCTGCGCCTGGGACATACGGACCTCGGATGAGCATCGTTGCAGGCGCTGCAGATATGGAGGAAATAGCAGTTTGGGTAAGTGCAGACATTTTGGTTGAAGTTACTGCATATCTGCTTGTCTTGCCAGCGCTGCCCCTGACTGCCTTGTCTATTATCTGAAGTCTGAAAAGTGGGGGGGGGGGGGCTCTGCATGCGGAGAGAGGCACTGAAGGGCAGAATTGGGCGAGGTGGCCCTGAGCACCGCAGCTGTTGCACGACATGACTTGGTGGCCGCCTGTGGACATGACGAGCAGCTCCGTGTCCAGTATGGACCAGTCCAGGCGGATGTTGGAGTGTGCAATGTGAAGCGCTGCTTTACATGAGAAGCTCTTGTGGTAGGAGTAAAATACGTTTTTCCCGTATTTCAGAAAAAGGTCGCCGATCAGAGCAAGATATGCATCTAGCTCTTGCCTTCTTTCCGGGTAGACGGAGCATATGACGTCACGGTAGATGCCGAAAGCAACCAGGAAATACCCTATGGAGAGGTCTCTGTTGAGACGGGGGTCTGCTGCCTTGAATACGGCGGTGATGCTTCCCCCTGTGGCGATGGATTTGTCGCACTCCGGGGACGGCAGGATGAGGCTAACTAGGTTAATGTCCTTCCCGTCGAGTATTTTTGCCCGAAGCCGGGGGGAAATATTCGCCGTTTGGGGAATGTAAGACCTACCGGAAAGAGTGACTGGGAGGGCGGAAGCCAGGGAATGAGGGGAGGCTACACTGTGAGGGAATGTAGGGGCTTGGACCGGCATTAACCCCGGCGGCGCCATGGCAGGAAGCGCAGCCCTGTGAGTTGATGAAGTGGAGGCTCTGGCTGCTGCCCTTTCCATAGACTGAAGGCGAGCGTCGATTTGTTGCATGGATTTGGCCAGGGATTGCAGGGTGTTGGCCAAGCTGGTATCTATGGGCCCAGGCCGGTTTAAGGTGCTTCCGGGCTGGTCAGCGATGGGGCGAGCCTGGGAGGAAGTTATTTTTTTTGGACGGATGAGCTCCTGGGGGGGGGCGACTTCCTTGTCCTCTTACCCCCGCGGCCGCGCCCCGGTCTGTCGGAGGGGCCGGCTGGAGCTGCTGGCGTGAGCTGGGGAACGGCGCCTGCTACTTGGTCTGAGAGCTTGCGAAACTGGGAGAGAGTAAGACCTGGGGCTAGGGAAATGCCCTTCTGCTGCAGTTGAAGAGTGAGGAGATCTGCCTCTGCTGTATGTGAGCTGCTGCGGGAACCCGCACGGGTGCTCGAGCTCCGGTAGCTTGAGGAAGGGGAAGCTGCCTCGGGCGGAGCGTCAGGGCTGGGATTGAGATCCTCCTGGAAAAGTTCGTCCTCGGAATCGTCCGAATTGGACATCTTTGAGGTTAGATTTATCGTACGCGGAGGTTTGTTTGCACTACCGTTGCGCGTTGGCACCGGAAAGACAGCTGATATAAAAGGGGAGAGCATATACAGAGGGATTAACAGGTGTGATAATTAGGCTTGTGAATGGAGGGAAGTGATAGGTTGGCTAAGGAGTGGCGCTCCCTGTCATCTAGTGAAGGGAGCGAGTATTGCCATGACGTGCAATACGGAGTGATAGGTCTTCCTGTCTGAACTTGCGCTGAGCTTCATTTGTCGTGCATCTATGCTTTGATGATCAGTTAAAAAATGCACATAAAAGGGATTTCGAAAATAATTATGGTCAGTCTTCTTGGCAATAACAGATTAATTTGTCAAATTATTATCAGATTATTTGAAGAGAATCACCAACGGTTTTTACTTGGATTGTTTGTCAGTTCATATTGGGTGATATAAAGAGACACACTTACTGTTGATGATGGGATGTCATCTGACTGAATGAGCTATTCGGTGTAGTTTTCCCTTATTTACTCAGGCCTTGTTTTAAGCAATGCAAAAATAAAACAGAAGTTTTCAGGGCCAGTTGTTCTCGTCTTGTTGAGTATGAGCACATGCATGTTCTATGCGGCGTGACATCACATCATATTTCTCATTATTTCCTGTCACACAGGTTAAATAAAGGCTGCCAATTGTCTACCATGTAGTGTGTTATAACAACATGGAGAACAATCACCAACCAGCATCCTGACTCAGTTGGTCAGATCTTCCTCTCTTGCTTAGTTCTCTGCTTCTATGTTCTGTGATGATGACCTGAAGAATCTCAAATCTGTAAATATGGCCCAGAAAAAGAAAATGAATTATCTTTTTAGAGAATCATGTATCTCAATATAGGATGCCTGCTTTCTAGTAAATTAAAACTTAAACTTAGTCAAATGAAGATGTACTGCTAATAAAACTGCTCATAATATAGATCATCTATAGGGTCATGTTCACTTACTGAATTTGACAGTTAAATGTATTTAATTGAGGTTAAAAGTCTGGTCTTTGGAGGATGATGGACATTATATCCACAGTGGTCCCGTCTCTCCTGCTGCTTTTCTGACTGTAGTTTGCTCCCAAAGCTCTGATTTGATAATCAAATGAAGCGGGTGTATCTGAAGTTTTGCATTTGCTGACTGCCCTCTCTACCTGCTCTGATTGGCTGTTGCCAGGCAGCGGCTACGGCTCGCTGCAGAAACACAAAGGCAAACAAATACAAACAAAACAAATAAGCAAGCTGCAGAGCATGGGGCCACAACACTGTTGGCCACGTTGTGTATGTATTAATGGGGTGTAATTGCTCAGGATCTCACACACACACACACACACACACACACACACACACACACACACACACACACATCCGCCCAGCGATGCGTAGCTGTCTTAATCAAGTACTTGTAGAGTTTTTCTTGAATGGTCAAGACACATGTTTTATTGCATGCTGTCATCAAGTGTCATTACTCTTTTTGAGCAGAATGTCTTTTTGAGGCCTTCTTTTTCCAATAGCACGACACAGAAATGCTTCAACGTAGCTCTTCTTATCATGATGGTTAGTTGTTCATCTTGGGATCAGTATGTGTGACACCAGCCTCAATTTAAGTAACAATTTACTATCGTATTCTTAAAACACTGTTGGTGTCTGGTAGATACTAAAGAAAACAACAACACAGGTACAGATATATTATCTTTTTTTATTTCATCCATCCTTGGCAAAAACAGGCTCCTACATTACCCATAATGCAACTCATTTGCTGACAGCTCAGTCATAGGAGAAATGTAATGTAATGCAATGCAACTTTATTGTCCACCCAATTGTAAAATGTTCTTCGGCTCAGGAAAACATAAAGCAGCACAAGAACATGTAACGTATACAATCCAGGCCATCCGGACCAGATTGAACTCAAACATAACATATCTACTTAAAGGTGGGGTAGGTAATTTTGGAGAAA